GCTGCAGAACATGAACCTGCTGTAAAACAGCAATTATGCTGAGTCAGGCTTGATTTTTAATAGTCTTTTCCTGTTAAATAAATAAATCAAATCAAATCATCCCAAGTGAGTGTTTGAGCTACCCTGTCAGCCCTTTTTTTAGTTAAATAATTTTTTTTATTTTTGCCTTTTTTGAAACTGCCTGCACCCTGGGTTCATTGTTTCCAAGCCATTCATGACAAAAAWATTATTCTTAAAACTCATAAAGTTGAAAAATAGATTCCAGTTTATTTGGGTGAATGCTATAGACCAAACATTACAGTAACTAATATACAGATACAACATTAAATAATACAACATGTTGCAACTTTTCTGTTAATCAGGTGTCAGATGATTTCTAATATACCAACCACTGTGGCTACTTTGTATACTAATGTGAGGTTTCCAGGATTAAGAATTACCTAAAATAACACCAAGGAAACAAGTGGATATAACACTGTTAATGGAAATATTATTATCATTTTGTATTTTCATTGATTTAAATGTATCAGATTTAATACTGAAAAATATGTTGTTGTTTTTTACATTAAGTGACAATTTATTGGACTTGAACCAAGTGGAGAACTTGTCAAGTTCTTCATTAAAATTCCAGTTTTTTTTTTTTTTTGAGAATAAAACACACTTGTATCGTCTGCAAATAAGAAGTTTATCTGAAACATTAGTGAGGTTGTTAACATATTATAAAAATAACAAGGGAACCAAGATGGAAGTCACAAATAGTCCTAACAGATGACCTTGTTAATGTGAGGAACTCACATGAGCTTCATGTGATCACATTATAAAAAAATGTGATCACTTCAGCAATAAAACTGTGGAGACTTTACAGGTGTGATGTTTGAAGGAAAGGTTTGTGAGTCTTTGCACTTGATAAAAAATATGATAAAATGATGAATCCAGCAGTAGATTTCTTACCAGAAGTTGTCCTGCCCAGAGTGGAAAGTTTCTAAATGCACCCTGCCACAGATCTAGACCTAAACCAAGGACAAAGCCAAGGATAAAACTGAACAGTCCCACAGCCGCCTGTACTGACTGTGAAAGAAAAAACACAGGTCAGTGGAGAACAATCTGTGATTAATATATAAATAAATCAATGATGATGCTCCAGCAGGGACAGAACTGCAAACACTGCATATAAACTGATCAGAAACAAAAACAAAACACTCATTTAAATCAAATCAATTCAAAGGAACAAAGGTTTCTTCTCACCCCAAAATTCTTCAATAATTTGAGGTTTTTCATGAGTGGATCCGACGCAGAGCTGGACGTTGTGCCATGGTGGGAGGAAGTGGTGACCTGAGTCAGAGGAGACTGGACGTTTTCAAGTCCAGAGATGGTGGAGATCAGAGGGAGCTCATCATCTTTAGTCCCAGTGGCAAACATCCTGCTCACACCTGGAGAGAAAAACTCTGATTTTATTAAGTTCATCCCTTTACCAAATGTAAAACAAAAAGAAAYCTTTAAAGACTTTCAACATTTTTAGTGAAAAGTTATTCAAGGGCACGAACAAAGAGTCTGACTCTTAAATAAATTACAAAAATGAATAAACGCACCTCAAGATTTTCTAAAATAATCGAAAGATATTTTGTTTAATTTTAAAAACAAACAAAATCAAACCTAAAAAATTTTAATTCTTACCTCTTGAGCTTGAACAAGAGTCTGGTGAAAAAGCTGTCTGGTTGTCTGGTTTCAGTTTGTTGAAGCTGAATTTATACAGCTTGAAGACGTAAAAACCTCCAACCTGTTCCTAGAAGAACCTCTAAAACCTTGTCCCCTGAAAGGCTGTAAGAAAATGTTGGTCAGCTGTCAGGTCATCATAAAGTGAAGTTGAGAAAACCTGATAACAGAGGCAGAAACAAAACTGGAGCAACTGAGTGCAAACTTGTTCAGTCTGACCAATAAAAGGTTCTCAAAGGAAATAAAACTGATCCAGTTAATGATATAATAACATTATAATGTTGTTTTACAGTGTGTTTGTATTACTGATATTATATTACAGGTTAAAATTAAACTGATTTTTAAGCATTTGGTGGTCATATTTATATTAAAAAAAATAACCTCAACAGACAGTCATGTTTTCCATGTTTACGAGGTCATAAATTCCAGGACAGACAATCAGCACAATGTTAATGTCTCTTATGACTGTCTGATGAGAAACTGATGAGAAAAACTGCATTTAAAGTATTCATAACTTGGTAATATCAGATCAGAACCCATCAAGTCAGCTTTATTTATAGAGAACATTTAAAACAAGCAAAGCTAAAAT